AGTGATATGTTGAATATAACACTTTAACTGAGCAGGAAATATATATCTATTTAAGAATTACTCATATTTATGTGTTAACTTAAAGCACAGCTATTCAGCTGTTCCAAAATGCAAAAATCTATTTGAAGCCAAGTAAACACTTAGTATGGTCATCGATTATTGTCAAAAACAGCCGAGCACAAATAATTCAGTGAGTGAAGAGAAAAGAGTCATATAAACTTAGATTCCAGAGAAATTTGTATTTTTAATGTAGTTACTACTTATATAGAGAATCTATCTATTTTACAACTAATTAGCTCACTAAGTATATTACTTTACATTATGCCTAACAATAAAAATTCATGAATCATGTTTCCTCTTATATAATACTTGTCGATTGGGAGTACAAAAAGCCCATAGTTGATATTCCCATTGAGATTCAGTCTGAGTATGTACCACTTTCAAGGTTAACATATTACTTACTCAGCAATCGAGTTTAGATAATCATTGATTTGTATAATAAATACTGTCTTATTCGTAATGATTTGTCTTCCCGTTTTTTTTTATAGGAAAGATTGATATATTTACTCAAGTTGAATACATAAATTAATGAGTCTATATTAACTTCAACGTAACTCATAACTTTAATCACACATGAATTCGAAGTTTGAGTCATTTAAGTTAGTAATGATGACATTTCGAAGTTATGACCAGTAGAGTTCGAGCCTTTCAGGTGTGGATAGTTACCCACAGAAGACAATGGGTGAGTTCGCACAAAATTATTAGATTGATCGAAAGTTAGACATTAACACCGTTGCATGCCGGCTCAGTGGTCCAGAAGTTAAGTTTTAGCGCGCAAGGCCGAAGTTTCTAGGTTTGATTCCCGAGAGCCCATTGCTGAAGCGTCCCATACTAAGACAATACGACCAACCAGTGCTTCTGGGTTTATAATGGTGGTCTAACAATGATTCACTGACGATTTCAATGTAATTTAGTTCGAAGTTATAATAATAAAACGCTTGAATATGTAGAAAATACATTGCAAATAAACAGGTAACTATACTGCTCAGAAAAAAACTACTTTTTTCAACCATTTTCATGTGATACTTAGATACAGTGATCGCTATCAAATTCATTGATAATAAACTTGATAAATATTCAAAGTGTGTCATCCAATAAGAATTTAAAATGAATTTCAGAAATTCGTAATAGCATGTCAAAAGATACAGTTTCGTAATGATGCGTATGTTAGCTTTCGTAAGATTTTATTTATTTATTTAAACTTAAATGTTGATACAAAAGTTTAATTAAAAACATTTCGTTATTGTTCTGGACACCATTTTATTAGAAGCTTCAAGAAATGTCCATTGCTCAGTCAGTCAGTCAGATGCAACGTAGAACTTTGTACGTAAGTACATCAGTTCATGTTGCCATACCACATCAGCACAGAGAAGTAATCGTCAATTCAAATCCAATAGTAGAAGAGGTAGTGAGGGAATTAGAAGTAATCGGAGAGGTTAGGATTAGAAGATACTATTCAAGAAGTATGATTCAGTGAGAAAAGTTTAGAAAGTCAGAACTAGAGGTGTTGAAGAATCCAGAAGATTAGGATTTGAGAGAACACAAAGAATAAATGCACCAGCGCCATTGCAAACGGTTTTGAGCCATGTCATTCAGGGTATCTAACCATCGATTATTATCATCTCGCGGACCCCAACCAGGTAGTCGACAATTACCGACATGGCTCAGTCCACTAGTCAATGACACAGAGTTCTGATAGTTTTCACTACTCTCCATTATTTAAAAGCATAAACTGAAATTCATTAAAGTAACATTTTTAAAGCATAAAAAGTGACATTAGAATTACAACTACCATTATTTTTTTCTAATCAATCATAAAATTCACAAGTCAAAATTATCTAACAAAGAATGATGATGCATTTTCACGTACATGACTTGAGAAAAAATCGATACTACACGATGAAAAAAACAAAAACAAATAAAAGCTGATAAATTCGAAGTACACTTTTAATATCAAATCGGTAGATTATTCTGGTTATCATTATGAAAGTTATTTAGTCTGTTCACTATCGCTCATAATCAGAATTCGATTCATTTAGGAGACGAGTACTAGGTAAGGATGGCAGATCAATAGATGAAGTGGTGAAACTTCATCAGTTGAGGTGGTTGGGACATGTGTTACGTATGGCTAACCACCGACTACCTCGTCGAGCTATGTTTTGTGGTTGGAAGAAAGCTAGGGGCGGCCAGACCAAAACATGGCAGAAATCCATAAAGTCACTGACAAGTGGACTGAGTCATGTTAGTAGATGTAGGTTACCTGATTGGGGTCCGCGAGACGAAAGTCATCAATGGTTAAAGACCTTGAACGACATGGCTCAAAATCGTTTGCAATGGCGCAGTTGCATTTATTCTTTGTGTTCTCTCAAATTCTAATCTTCTGGATTAGTCATCACCTCTGCTTTTGTCTTTCTAAACCTATCTCACTGAATCATACTTCTTGAATAATATCTTGGGACCCTAATCTTCTCTATTATAAGTAGTACTCCTACTATCTCTACTACTATGGGATTTGAACTGACAGCTGCGTCTCTATGCTAATGTGGTACGGTAACATGAACTGATGTACCTACGTACAAAGTTCTACGTTGCAACTGACTGACTGACTGAATTTATAATTAATTTTCTCGAAACCAAATGAATAAAACAAGATATAAAAATATGATAAAGACTTTTGTAAAAAATCAACTGTAAACAAATGTATCTTTCTATGGCATAGTTATCTATATGCGTGCCATATTATAGACTATTAGACGTTCAACTTAAATACTATCATTTTTGAAACTATTGACAGTAACAATCATCGAACATTTTTGGTTGCTAAAAGAAATCATGATAGACATGCGAGATCGGATTTTATTCGGCTGTATCTGTTCAACTCCAGATTGTGTGGAGTTTAAGATGGATTGCTTTAATTTTTCAAGAAACGGAAATGTGATTTATACTTACTATCTAGCTCCAGCAAAACATTGATAAGTTAAACAACGTTCAAACTTGTTCAACTATTGTTGTCAGTAAATCAACACAACACACTTATTGCATACATTGATTGGTAAGAAATCGAGAGACATCCAACAAAACACCTGTAAAAAACTTTCATCAATCGTATGTCAGTCATTCAGTCAGTTGCAAAGTAGAACTTCATACATACGTACATCAGTTCAAGGTGCCATACCACGTTAGCACATAGATGCAGTTTTCAATTCAAATCCCATAGTAGTAGAGGTAGTAGAAGTAGTAGCAGTAATAGGGTTCGAAGATATTATTCAAGAAAAGAGAAAGACAAATGAGATGAAGAACTCAGATAATTAGAATTCGAGAGAAGCCAAAGAATGGATGCACCTAAGCCAATGCAAACGGTTTTGAGCCATGTTATTCAATGTCTCTAACCATCGATTACTATCACCTTGCGGACCACCAAACAGGTATGTAACATTGAATTGATCAAAGTGGATGCAATTTTTACTTTCATCCTCCTGAATGTGAACTTCCAGTGAATGCTTATGCACAAAGTTTATCTACAACTTCATAAGAACATATTATCCATTGAATACTACCGTGTTATTTAGTCATATGTTACCTACTTACTTACGCCTAATACCCCAGTGGAGCATAGGCCGCACACCAGTATTCTCCAACCAACTCTGTCCTGGACTTCCCTTTCCAGTTCTTTCCAATTTTCGTTCATTTTTCTCGTCTTTCTCTATTTCTCGGCGTAATGTGTTCCTTGGCCTTCCTCTTTTCCTTTGACCTTTGAGGGTTCCGTGTGAGGGCTTGTTTTGTGACGCAGTTGGGTGCTTTTCTCAGTGTGTATCCTATCCACTTCCACCGCTTCTTCTCGATTTCCTCCTCCACTGGAATCTGGTTTGTTCTCTCCCACAGTAAGTTGTTGATGATCGTGTCTGGACTATGAATCCGAAGTATTTTGAGTAGACAACTGTCCATAAATACTTGTATCTTCTGGACGATGGCTTTCGTAGTTCTCCAGGCTTCGGCTCCATACAGTAGAACTGTCTTGAGATATGTATTGGAAATCTTTATTTTGGGGTTGATTGTCATTTGTTTGGAGTTCCGCCTGTAACATTTTCGGGGCTACTGCCTGTCCCAAGCCCAGGTGTTGGGCATAGGGTTGGCGCCCCTATCCCAACTAAAACTAACTTGCCAAAAAAACGCCAACCAGAAAAAATAAGTCAAATCAGTTTAACTCTGCTCTGGGAGTTTGAAGAAAAATCATGACGTCTCATGGTAAAAGCCGAGTTCCCTCGGAAGTCACGAGGCCGATACCCATTCTGACGACCAGAGCAACCATTCTTTTAGGTACTTGGAACGTTCGAACGCTGTGGGAGACTGGAAGACTATTTCAAGTTGCAGCAGAAATGAAAAGATTCAACCTGAAGCTGCTTGGAATCAGCTAAATGCATTGAACACAGGTAGTACAACTAAGACTAGCTTCATGGGAACTGATGTTATACTCTGGTCATGAAAAGGAAAATGTTTCACATGCACAGGGAGTTGCACTGATGCTGTCCAAACAAGTCATATGTTACCATACTCTAATACCTCAACTAAGTTCAAACCTCTGAATTGTAAAAATTCTCTTAGAGTATCACTAAGCATGAAACACTGATCCAGGAAATTCTTTAAATTACCTTAAAACGCCTATGATTATTATGATTATTATTTAATTTTCAAAATTTTCTTTTTTATTCTACCAACCAGTTTTAGTGAAAGTGAACATTTAATAGTAGCCTATTTTTACTGAAACATTTTCTAAACAAATTTTTCTTTTAATCAATGGAAAATATAAGCATCTTTATTTTCTGCATAATTAAACATGTTAGTTAACCAACCATTAATTGAAATAATCATCATTAATCATGTATGTATACATGAAAATTCATTAAAACAACAATCAACATTGTTTGAACTAAGTTCTAGTATGGAAATTGCAGTCATAGAAAAAGCTGAAGAAGTGTTTTTTTGAATGAATAAACAAACAAAAATCATAAAAAATTCATACACAATCTAGATTTAATGATACACAATGATTGATATGTGAATGGGATCAGCGTGCTGACAAATAATGTTTTACAATAATGAACTTTTTCAAAATAAAGATAAAACATATGTGTGAATGATCGCTTTTGTTTTTAATTTAATTTTACTAAAATGCAAATAAAAATCTAGTATATAAACGTCATGATATCTCATAAGATGTACAACAAATCATGATATAAATCAACCAATCCAGTATAGGGCGACCATAGACATTATGTTTGAGGACGCTTAAACTTTCGATTTGCCATTCATGATTTGCCATTTCGTGACTAGAATCATATCTCTTTAAAAATAATGTCAGCTATTCCTATGTGATGATGAATAAACAGAATTCTGAATAATTATAGGACTTGAATTATTACTGGAAATAGATAATAATTCATCATGATTGTTGCCAGAGATGGTAGCAGATGAAGAAATCTTTCTTGTTGTTATTCCTTCTGGTGTATGTTGCCAAACTATGTTGCCATTGTCACATTCCATTACAGGATTTTCAGCAAGCGTAGTATATGCAATATATAAAGTGTAGCAAAAATCAACGAGGAAAGTAATTACCAACAGAATAAATGTCACGATTAAATAGATACGAGATGCTGTCAATTGTAAATTTAATGACTTAATAATAAGATTTAAACAACCTGAAGTATAAATATTTCGATTAGCTGAAACATTATTAGTGAAATAACATGAAATGGGTAGTGAATTTTCTACTTTACTTTGTACATCTCTTTGTTCATATGAACTCCAATCACTGTAATTGACTTGACCACAACATTGGAAAGTTTTTTGTATGATATTCCAACACTTCAGTGCATTGTTAGAACTCTTGGAGCTAGTGAAGCTTACACGAGCCTCTACAAATGTGCTGGCCATCTCTGAATTGAACAATGTATCCATTTCAGATAGAAAATTGCCGACTAATATCAAACTTAATATCAAACCAACTGATAAGATTCCAAGAAATATAGAACCAAAATAAAACCATCCCACTCTGAAATGACAACAGTCGCATGTACTTGAATATGTATCTAGTGTATCGTCACTTGCACAATGTGAACGTGAAAAGTAAAAAGGTCCATAAACTTGACCACAAGGGACTCCAACAGCTGTTGTACAAGAATCAAAGGGATTGTTCGATGCATAGACTGGTTGACCAACTGGAACTGCAGGTCGACTTGAATTTTCAACACTGCCAACTGATTTCGGAGGGCAAAGGAATGTCAACGTAAACCAAACGAAAAAAATTATAGCTAATATAATTTGTAAAATGGAAAGACTAAGTGAAATCCAGAACACTGTGTATATAGCATGAAGTACCGGACAGTTTCGTATAGGTTGACTAATAATCGCGGTGAATAGAACCAGTCCAACAGCTCCTGTGCATAAAAGTGTAAGAATAAAGCATGCATGTAACGCCTCAAGGATGTAAAGGCGCTGAGTCAAACTCAATCTTTGCATGTATCTGAGCTATTCTAAAGATTAAAACAAATATGAAAAACAGAAATTTGAAATGAATGAATTTACCGTATGTGATAGAAAGCAACAATTGAACATTTATAAAACACCTAATACTGTTGCCAAGCTACTGAATTTAGCTTCAAAAAATTGCGCCAACTATACACTGGTTTTTGTATTAAACAGAGTTACTATGCCTGAATGGGCATGCTTGATGGTGTACAAGTTGGTTGGAAGATAGTTGGGGGTACCCAGACCAAAGTATCGAGTCAGTCCGAGGAACCTTGGACTTGTGACCTCGGTTCTGTTATCATATCCAAACTACTCGGCCTGGAATGGCGTAACAACCACCGTCAGTGGTTTGAGACTTGAGTAAAATGGATGAGAACCGTTCAAGAGCGCGAATAAGGATTTACTTCTACTTTTCTTCCTAAATTTTTAGTACTTCCTCATACATACTCTTCTATCAATCCCTTTCGAAAGATGTTTTCAGTATTTTAATTTTCACCACCATAGTTTTTACCTAAATTTTTTTGGCTTATTCACTATACATCTTGCTATTTTCATCTCTTCATGCTATCGCAATATGGCAGTTCGGGTTAACGCGCATTTGTAGCACCCTCTACATTGATTGCGTCATCTGATCGCTAATGACGTTAGGGATAACAAAAGAAATCAGTGTCTCACGTTGCCAAAGTTTTTTAACACGATAAGAAGAGAATAACATAAATTAGCCGAGGCGATGAAAGTAATAAAGGCTAATCATTGAGTGTGGATTGTCAAATAAAAATTTATTTCGGACTTAAATGCAGCCAGAATCTATATAGTTTAAATCTTCAAGTTTCCCTTGGCAAGAATAGATGTATAGGTTAATAAATAACTCTTGGGAAATTCCTAGGATTTTACAAAAGTCGGAAGATTGGTACGTCAGAGAATCACATGGAATTGAAATTGTAACATCGAAGACCATGAACAAAGCATTTTAAAACGATTCATGTTCCAGAATGTGACTGATCAAATGACCAACCAACAATACCCTAATACATCAGCTACAAATAAAACTCGATGGAAATCAGTCTAAGTAATTTTCGAATACGAAATAAATCATAAAACTTTAAATAATTTTAGGACTGATAAACATTTACTCAAAACAACTTGTACCTTAAAAAACCATCAATTTCAAGGTCACCCATTCGCATTTGTAACAGCCGCTGTGTACATGAGAACATGGTGACTATGGACAACGTTCAGTCGCAATAACCAAAAAAATATATGAAGAAGAACATGTACCTTCCTAAATTCTAAGCGTTTGCTATGGTCTAATCATCTTTAAATTGCATTAGATACTATTTTAATTATCAGAAATGTAAATCCAATATATACAAAATCTTTTTCACGAGCTAGGATCAACCAACTGATTTCTTTGTTCTCAATTTTTGTTCTTACGGTGCAGTTCCAAGTATCTGATAGCGCCCAATGGATGGTAATCTGGCCAACCCACTGCACCAATTCTTATCAGTTGGCGGCTGTTCGTACGTCACATGGTTTGAATGACTGCGTTTCTTCAGAGCAGTAGAGCTCAGGCACAGTTGTGCCGAATATAGAATTAAGGCACTCAGCAATAACTATAAAACCTTCACGTTTCATAAAAATCAGCAGTGAACACACGATAAAATCGATCAAAAAAGAGATGTTACTGTTTGCCGGAGGCATTTAGGATATAATATCTGAGCTTCGAACTCTGCCTGAAGCCTATCTGGGGTTACTGCTGGTCCCAAGATAGGATTAAGTAGGATTGATTATGTTTGGTTAGATACCCCATACTAAAGAAAAACAACTCTCAAAGAAGTGCTTACCATAAAATAATTCCAACCATTTCACTTTAATTTAAAATAGTTATCTCGTCTAATGATCAAAACCGAGTTTCTTCAGAAGTTACGAAGCCGACGGCCTTTCTAGCAACCAGAGCAATCATTATCATCGGTACATGAGACGTCCATACATTGTAAAGGACCGGTAAATGTATTCCAGTTACCGCGGAAACGAAAACACAGAACTTGATGGTCCCCCGAATCAGTGAAACATAATGGACGCAGTTCGGACAACAAGGACTAGCCTCAGGTAAGATGTTATACTCCGGTCATGAAGAACTAAATGCCTCAAACAAGCACAAAAAGCACCGGTAGGATGAGAATCTCATGAACCTAGGACCACCAAACCTCTTTCAAAACAAAGAAAAAGGGATTTGCAGTTAGCATCATCCAGAGCTATGCGCCTACCAACGATAACAATGAGAACGGCAATTACCGATTCTATGATAAGTTTCAATTAATCGCTTAGAAATACCAAAGACTTAACTATTCTGATGGGAGACCTAGAAGTGAAAGTTAAAATGGACAGCATCGGATATAAAGATATCATGTGACGAAATGTACAGTGAAAATGTAGTGAAAACGGAGAGTAATTTGCCGACCGATGTGCCTTGAACGGGGTGCACAACATCACGAAAGCTTGATACGGCCCTTCCTCGGGATACTGGCAAACTCAGAGAATTAAAGATAGTCCTCAACAATAAGTACCATGCCTTTCATGATCAACTCAATGGAGAGGAAACTAGCGTGAAGTACAAATAGAAATAGTAAGGGAAGTAATAACTTCAACATGAGAGAAGGTTCCAGGTCACGAAAACTAACGTCACAAGTGACGGATCTCTGCTGATACTGCGGTCAGGATTCAATAAATGAAGAAGAAGAAGTCATTTATCAAGAGAGACCGAACAAGAACAGAGAAAGAAAAGGCACACTTCGAATACCAGAAACAACCAAAAAAGTAAAGAGGAACATCGGAGCTGATAAGTGGAAATATGTGGACGATCTAACCATGATATCGGAAAAAGCTACAAGTGAAAGAAACATAAGACAACTGTATGATACGACGAAGAAAATTAGATTAACCGGGACATCAATTTTCTGGGGGTAGCTAACCAGAAGCTGATGCCGCCTTTGATAAAGCACATTAAGACAAGTACTGCGAAATCCTCAGAATAAGCAATATCCTGGCCAAAATATGCCGTCTTTTCACATGTTGGAACGTCGCAAAGCGGAAACCCTCTCCGTCAGATGATTATTGACTTTACAAACCAGGATGACCCTACAAGGGCGCTTCATGCTCTAAGAGCTTCAGCTCTAAGAACGATCTTTCTAGCCACATGAGGTGTTGCCAGAGCCAACCTAGATCAGTGAAGCAACAACGGGGAGACCAAAATAGGCGCACGCGAATGACAGTTGACCTTGATCGAACACCCCTGGCCTGAGACACGAAGATAAAAGTCTGCAGAAAACCTGCAGAGGCCAGTTCCCACAGAACTGTCCAACTTGTGTTAAACAAGTTGTTTGAAAGTCAGACGAAGTTATTTGTGGCAGAGATGCACCAGACGATGGGACAAACCACCATATGTCTCTATAGAAACGTAAGAGGACTATGGAGTAAGCTGTTAGAAATCAGGAATTTGGGCTCTGAAATGGATCTGAAGATCATAATCCTAAATAAATACATGGATATCCCCTGACATTGCAGACGACTAAGTGATCTTGCAAGGCATGAAACTCTTCCCAAGTGACAGGGTACACCAAACAGGAGGCGGAGTGGTTGCTCCCATATTAACAGACATTAAAAAATGAGCGGCTTATCAACACCCAACTAACTGAGGTGAAAGAACCATATTGGTGTTGTTTCCAAACAACTGGCGCAAAATACTTGATTGGAGAGATTTACCGACCTCCCAGTGTTACTAAGGCCTATAAAGACAAAGTCAATGAGGCAATAATGCAACTGCTACTCCTTGGACAAAGGCTGGGAAATCCTTAAACTTGGATTATTTGTTAGCAAATGATCAGCTCCTGGGAAAGGATTTTCATGTTTATACACCAGTAGGAAGTGGTGACTACGGCGCACTCATGTTCAACATGGTCATAAACGAAACACCAACGCAGGAAAAAAACGAGCCCTGCGTTTGTTACACTAGGGCGAATTACACGCGCATGAGAGAGAGTCTTCTACATACACCATGGCCATGAAAATGGCGGAGGTTTATAGTGGGTGATCACTGGCATCATCCAGAATGCTGTCCTAAACAATTTACCTCAGGCACACCACACACCCGGAAACAAAAGGACATGAGTTAAACGCGGCCTTAGATCCTCAAAACCAGCTTCTCTGATCAATAAAACCAATTACCTGCACATACACATTACTGCTCAAACCTAGTACCCATTGATCACCTAGGTAATATCCAACTTCCTTCAGATCCAGTACCGAGAAAAATAAACTTTCGTCCCGGAAAGTCAACAGGATGTGGAAATATTTGCCCCTTAGTCTTGAAACAGTGTGCAGAAGCTCTCAGTCCACCGACATATAACCTGTCTAGGAATTCGCTGGAGTCACTCTCAATCCCAGCTGAATGGAAACAAGCCATTCTCTCCAATCTTCAAAAGCTAGAGGTAGGAAGGACCCAACCTGTTTCAAACCAGTCACATTACTCCCAATACTATGGAAGGTAATGGAACGGCTTGTGAAAGAACTGATAAGAGAGTATATGGATGACAACAAAGACCACTATGAATCTGAACATGTGGTTAGGAAATGCAGGTTTTGCGCATCCAGTCTTCTCATAGAATAGGGCACTTGGACGTAATTGTAGGACTGAAAAATACCGGTTCATATAATATTTATTGACTTCGCAAAAGCCATCGACACAGTACACCACGCACATCTTATTGCGGTGGTTGCTTAAATTGGCTTCGTTGACCCACTCCTATTATGTATCAGAAAGTAACTTGAGAAGAGAAAGTTCCGCACCAAGGAAAATAGAGTGTATATGAGTTGGCGAGTCTCAACTTTGAGAGTTTCACAGAGGACCATCTTAGGTTCACTCCTCTACCTGAAATTCATTCACTATCTGTTAGACAAAGTTAGCTCGCCGGCATTAATCTACAATGAGGATGTAAAGTTCTGGAAGTCCATTGGAAATGAAAAGAATTCAACTGAGCTCCAAAAGGACCTTACATCCATTTAGGAATGGGCAGTGAAAAACGGTTTAAAAGTCAACCAACCGAAGTTCCACGTCATGTATATTCTGCCCCACATGACGCAAACGATTTACACCCTCAATGGGAGTCCGCTACCTAATGTCTCCTCAGAGTAACCACAGAAAGCCTCCAGACAAGCCTGGACTACGTAGGGGGCGCAGTCAAGGCTTATGCGACCCTTCACTTTATGCGAAGACAACTTGGTGCTATCACATCAGAATTATTCCTAACACTATTTGAGACGTATACTCACCTGGAGGTTCACAACGTCAGGGCACCCCCTCGGCTTAAAAATGACTTATATCTCTTGGATCGAGTGCAGAGACGAGCAACGAAATGGGTGATAGGGTTAAGAAATAAGCCTTAAGATGATAGACTCCAGGATTTAGGATTAATCTCCCTGAGTTACAGGAGAAGCAGAGGTGATCTGATTATGGCGTACAAATTATTAGGCAAGCTAAACCGTCCCAACGTGAGCATCTTATCGATGCATCACACCACTCCCCTCGAGGCAATCTTTCAAGAATCGCGGATCAAAGAGCGAACACTCAGGGTCGTGCACAGTTCTTCTCATTAAGAGTCGTTTCAACTTGGAGTGCTCTCCCAGCAGAGGTGACCACAGCCACCTCTGTGGATAGATTCAAGAAGAGACATGATATACTCGTACTCACATACGGATTATCAACTCCCTTGTGGACAAGCTGTACCTGATGCATGCCTTGAGACTTGCTAGTCGTTATTATATCCATTTACTCAGGTCAATAACCTAATATATCTCGCCTATTATCTGTGTTTCCACTCCCTTACTTACACTTCGGTCTTCTCTCAAAATCTTGACAAACAATTAATAAACGAAACTATCTATATATTACTTAGATTAGAAATCCACTCATCAACATCAGAATTTTCTCCTTATTATTCTCTACACTTCAACTAACGATCTCCGGCCTAGTAATGTTATAGCTACTGGTATCCAAAAACCCTACTACTATGAAACAAATGTTTTAATTCAAATTCCGGGACATACAAACTCACAACCAACTGCCAACTGACTAGAATTAGACAGTTTAATGGATAGGCCACCATTCATTGGACATTTTATAGTACCCGGAACCGTACCGAAAGAACAAGGATCGAACGCGATAAAATCGATTGGTTTATACTAGCCCGTGAAAAAGATATTGGATATTGTTTACTTTGTGATGTTGGACATTGGAGCTTGTGGTGGACTTTTGAAACTACAAGGCACAATTGTGTGTATACGTTCGGATTTGTAAAAACACACACAGAATGTAAGGTTGTAACCTAGGCTGTAACAATTTAACATTCTTCCGCAAAAAGTGCAGGTTAATTTTGCATTGAATATGATTGGCCTTCAATCATTTACAACTCTTTTTCAATGTCAGTATGGTCCCAGGTCAGTTGACACAATAATAGTTGTTTTTACTCAATGAAATCCTTTTGTTTCTTCCTCGAATTCTAATCTCCTCAAGATTAGGAATAAGAAATAATATTATTTTTGTATAAGGCTCCTATAGTAATTCCAGGTCGTTTAATATATAATGTAGGACGCAGAGCTTTACTTGGCAGAACTCTAGTTCGTGACAAAACCCTTGCATGGGTCCCCAAGGCTTTTATGAGTCATTTGGTTCAATATTCCAATCTTACCCCCTCGCTGGGTAATTTACTCATGTTGTTTTCATTGAAATTTAAAATTGACTCTTATACTGGTATAATATTTGTTACGAAACAATCTATTTGATTCGGTTAGTAGGGGAATCATGAAGGCTTAAATGATGAACTCCATATAACGGGCCCTCAAACATTCGTGTTTGACTCCGTCCAGTTTCATTTTGCAAGGAGCAGAAAGTTGGGTGGACCTGTTGCTAGTTTCCAGTACTGTTTTGCTCTCAGTTGATTGAAGCTTTCTCTTGACACAGTGGTATGGTTTCCTCTCTGAGTTTCCCTTGACCTCTAGTCACGCATCAAAAACTACTGGTTTTTTCACTCAAATTTGAATTAATTTAAGTTAAAGCCACACTAAAAAGTATTGTTCCTAACAAGGCGTAATTTTACCTGTTTTTATAAGCCTATTGATTTTTTTTATTTTTCAGCACATTTGGACCTTAAACAGTCTACAATCCACTTTTTGATGTGGTTTATTAGTTTTTGTCTCCCACTTGTGTATTTCACTCGAAAACGCTTCTCTTTATAACCATTACACTAAAAAATGTCTTCAATGGGGGCCCCCTGGTTGTTTGGAAACCCTATTGACTAAAGTAGGCAGGGTGATGCAGTACGAAGTGTTGGTACCAAGAGGTCTTCACAAAAACTAAACACCCTCATCTTTTCAGACGGGTTACCCTAACAAAAAGGAATGTGTTGGGTTGTGCCCACCATCTGTTTTTCTTTTGTTCGAATGCAAAAAAGTTTGTTAATCCGATGTAAAACACTCAAGTCAAGGTGCAACTATCAAGAGAGCTGAAAATGGTTCAAATTGATGCTTTGTTCGAATGAACACAGTCATATTCAATGCCGCCAAACATCAAACATTCAAGTCCATTTTGTAGCGGAATAACTTAAAATGGGACTGAAGTAGAAAAAGACTGACCCCCAAAGAAGTACCGTGGTGAAATGAATATACTCACAGAACACAGGTTTTTTTCAGTTCCTCGTTTTCTAAGTG